CCATGTCCCTTCTGAACTGAGCATGAGGATGTGACTCTGTGGTGGCTAAAGGCAAAGAGACACATCATCTGGGGAGGGTTTGATGGATAATTTTAAAAATTGCAAATTTTGCAATTATGGTTTGTCTTTCTGCTTCCAGAAAAGAGGAATAGCTGGAAAGGGGATGGAAATCCCCATTTAGGCACTGTGGTTAGGCATGAGAGGGGGAAAGAAAATGCCCTGGGTGTGCCAGGGTTCACAGGGGAGAAAATACCATGAGTTGCACTGATGGCACCCTCATCTCCAAGAGCTCTCCAGTGAAGATCTCCCTGGCAGTGATCTGCTTCTCTTCCCTCCCAGTGCATTCCTCACCCAAAATCACAAATCTCAAAAAATCATTGAATCACAGCAAGGGTCATCAAATCACCTTGAGTTTCTTCCAGGGCTTGTGTGAGGAACTTCACCTCTCCCTTCTGTCTTTTATTTTCCCTTCCCTTTCTGTGGGATTTTTCTGGGGGAGGAGAGTTCCCTGGTAATCCTGCAGCTCCGTTCTCCTGCCCACAGGTTCTCGATGTGATCCCAAGCAGGATGCACCATGTCTCCCCGGCACCAGCTCTGACCATGATGGCCACGCAGACAGTGCCTCCTCCTCCCTACCAAGACACCCCACAGGTGAGTGTCCTCCAGGACCCCCAACTCCTGCATTACTTACCTTGATTTCCTAAATAATGGCCATTACAAAGGATTTCACCCCAGAGCATTCATCTCAGAGACTGGCAGAATGAAAACCCCTCCTATCCATCTCCAAAATTTAAAGATTTTGGCTGAAACTATGGGGTTTTCCCCTTTTTGTCTAATTTCTTAAGCTGTGCCAAGGGAAATTTAGGTTGGATGTTAGCAAAAAGTTTTTTAGTGAAAGAGTGGTAAAGTACTGGAATGTTCTGCCTGGGGAGGTGGTGGAATCACCATCCCTGGATGTGTTTAAATAAAGATTGGATGTGGCACTCAGTGCCATGGTTTAGTTGAGGTGGTGTCAGGGCATGGGTTGGACTCAATGATCTCTTCCAACCCAGTGATTCTGTGATTTTGGGGTTTTTGGATCTTCTTGGAAAGCTGGCATGCTGGCATGACTGTGACCAGCAGGTTAATTAGCTGGAAAGGTGACACATTTGACTAAACCAGGGTGGATTTATTCATAGCAATGGCCTTTGATTTATTTCAATGGCATTTTTTAATAACCTTTGACAGGGGAGAAAAAAGATTTCATCTCCAGTGGTGCTCTAAGTGGTCAAATAGCTTTTCCAAGCATCCTTATGGAGTTGAGTTATTGTAAGAAGAGGAGTTTTCCAAACTCTTCTGGAGCACCCCAGTGGGCTGGACCTGGGAGTTGAGGATGGATTTTGGACATGATCCTTCACCTTGTAGCCCATCTTGAGATTTTTTAGGGTAAATTTATATTGCATTTCCACTTTTCCAGCCACAGTGGGTGAACAGGGGTGATCTGTATTGTGCACTGAGCCAGCTCCACATTCAAAGCAGCTTTTTTTCCTGTTGTTCATATGGAAGATTTCAAGTTTTTCCTCTTTTTGCTGCATTTCTCATCTGCAAAAGCAGAAAAATCGCCCCCCCAACAACAACAACAACAACAACAAAAAAAATCACCCAACAACAACCCCACCAAAAACCCCAAATCCCCAAGCTTGTCCTCTTCAAGCTAAAACAAATAAATTGACTTTCACACCCCCTCCTTGAAGCCACCCGCTTCTCCTTTCTCCTCATTTCCTTCGGTGGGAAAAGGTCACTTCTCACAAACGACACCTCAGTGGGGTTTTATGGCTCCTCCAACTTCTGTGTCATCATTTGCTCGCTCCACTGCTCTGCCTCCAGTAGGGATTTATTTTTTTTTTTTATCCAAATTTTATTTTTTTTTTCTTTCCCTTTTCTCGCTTACGCAGCGGGAGCCACGGCACCGTTTGAGTCCTAATGGGCAATTTAAGGGACTTTTAAAATAGCCAACATTTTCCAGAGCATCCTTTGGAGACGTCTCCCCTCTCTCCCTTCCTCATCCCTGGCCCTTATCTGCCCTCTCTTTTAATACATTGAATTTTGGGGACCCTCAGGAGCGTTGCTGACCAAATCCTTCCTTGTTTTACCTTATCAAGGGGGTTGCTCAAGCGTTTCTCTTTCTGTTTTGTGGGTTTGGAGGAAAAGCTGCAGCCAAGAATTGATTTTTTCTTTTGTTTTTTTTTTTTTTGACTCATCTGCGACTGCTGTGAACTTTTCACCTGAAAATTCGGGATTTCAGGGGAAAAGCAAATGATACAAATTTCTTCTCCCCGAAAGTGGGGAAGAAATGGGGAGGAGTGGTGATAAATGGAAAAATTATTGATTATCAGAGCTACAATGAGCTCCTTCTCATCAAGGGAACCACTGGGGAGAAAAGTGCTAAAAAAAAGGGATTTGGGGAGCTTTGCATTTATGTTTTACAGCAGAGGCTGTGCAAGCTGTCACCCTCACTGGCAGAAACAGGCAAAAACGAAGCAGAAATGATGGGAAAATCTGCCTTTTGGAAGGAAAAAATGCTTCATTAATCACTGGAATCTGTTAAATGAGTGGAACGTGGAGCATCTTTTACACCGAGCATGGTCTCACTCCTTGAGTTCTCTACCTGTTGAGAATTAAAGTCTGCATTAAAATCAATTTTCTATAAAGAATGAAAACAAAAAGCTGAGGAAGAGTCTTCAGCCATTTCATTGGCAAAAAGAAACTGTTTGAAAAATAGGTATTTTTAGCATCCAAAGTGGTGAGAGCAGTTTTGCCCTGCCAAAAATGCTTTTTAGGTGGTCAGAAGAGAGATAAAAAAAGAGAGGAAGGGGGATTTATTTACTTATTTTATTTTATTTTATTTTATTTTATTTTATTTTATTTTATTTTATTTTATTTTATTTTATTTTATTTTATTTTATTTTATTTTATTTTATTTTATTTTATTTTGTTTTGTTTTGTTTTGTTTTATTTTATTTTATTTTATTTTATTTTATTTTATTTTATTTTATTTTATTTTATTTTATTTTATTTTTTTTTATTTTATTTTATTTTACTTTATTTTATTTTACTTTATTTTATTTTACTTTATTTTATTTTTGTTTATTTTTTTTTATTTATTTTCATTATCTATTTATTCTAAAAATATATTTAAGAAAGAAATACTATTAAAAATTGGGTTAATTTTTCATATATTTTAGTACAGAAAGTGATAAAAAGCATCTTTCCCTTCCCCCCAATTGGTTACAATAGGGACAAAAATGACCAATAACTAACTAACTAACTTTACAAATATATTTTGAAAAAAAAAATTAAAAATTGGATGAAGAAGTTAATTTTTCATAGTTTTCAACACTGAAAGCAATAAAAGTATCTTTTCTTCTCCCCCCCTCCCACTAATAAACACTTTTTCATTGTTTATTAAGGGACAAAAATAAAAAAAAAATGATATAATTCTATCTTTTTAAATACAAAAATGTTTTTTAAAAAGTCACAGGTTAAAAATTGGGTGGAGATTGAGATTTTTCAGTAGGAGCCACAAACCCCCCCAGTTCCTGGTGTCCTCAGCAGATTTTTGGGCTCAGAACTGCTGTTTTCATCATCCCACTGAGGAATAAGGTAAATTATGATTTAGGGGATTTGTTCTCTGGACTTGATGTCTTTGACCACAGTCTTCAAATAAAATCTAAAAATGGGGGATTATGGCATTTAAACCTGCTCCCCCAAAAAGCCCAGGAGCAGCCACCAACACCAGCAGAGGATTTCCTTCCAAAAGAGGAAAAAACCTCAGAAATATCCTCCCCAAACCCGAGAAATTTAAAACATCCAAACCCAGGATTATCACACCTGAACCCCAGAAATCTGTGGTACCCAAACCTAGAAATTTGTAATTCCCAAACCCAAAATTCTCATCCCTAAACCCCAGAAATTTGTGATACCCAAACCCAGAAATATCACAAACATCATCAAGCAACCAGCATCTCCAAAATATCTGTTTTACCCAGGGCCCTTGCAAAAACTCAGAGATTTTAAAATGTTTTTAACTATTTCTTTATTATTTTTAATTTCTTGTTGTTTTTCTTTATATTTTTTTTATTTTTTACATCTTTAGAGCCCTTTGTCATTTTTTTACATATTCTATATTTAAAACGTATTTTTAAGGAAGTTTTAAATGTAATTTAAATTTTTTTTCAACATTTTAACATCTTTTCATGGATTTTCTACATTTTAAAGCCTTTTAGATTTTTACACAATGGCAAACATATTTTTTTTCATTTTTCTGTATTTTAAATAAATTTTTAACATATTTATAAAGCATTTTTTGGTTTTCACGTCTTTGAACGTATTTGTAACATTTTAAAACTTAAATTTTCCAATATATTTGTAAACACATTTTTAGCATATTTGAAACATACCTTAATAAATTTTAGTAGCTTATGATAATAATAATATAATAATTATTGTCATCATTGTATTTTTTTCATCACTCTTTTTTGCTGCTTTTTAAACATAATTTTTTGTGCTTTTTATTTTCCTTTCTCATTTACATTTTTTCCCCCTCTTGCAACTATTTTTGGCCATTTTCCAGGGGAAAAAAAAAACAACCCAAACCAAAACCCACCTGCATTTTTTATCAAAATTTGTAACTTTTACACCCAAATATTTCCTCCTATTTCCCATTTTCCCACTCCCAGGAATCTGCTGTCTTTTCCCTCCCCACCTGCTCCTCCAAATGCCATTTTTGGCTTTATTTTTTGCCTTCCTCACTATTCAGCTGCAAATTTCCCCCATCCCAGAGTCCTCTCCCCTCTTTTTCCATAGACTTGGAATTATTTTTACTTATTTTTTATTCTTTTCTTTAGTCCAAGGTGAGGTAATGGCTTCAGAGCAGCCCCAAAGGAGGATTTTTTATTTTGGGTAATAGCTCAATTAGTTGCAGACTTGGCTGGGAATATTCAACTTGGCAGGATGCAAAAAGGGCTTTGGAATCCTGGTAAATAAGTGTGATGAAGGGGGGAAAAAAGAGGGGAAAAGGTTGGGGGGAAAAAGCCATTTTTCCCTGCTTAAATGTAATTTTCCACAGATGTAATAGGGAGAAAAAAGGGGGAAAAGGGAAAGAGGGTGAGGAATGATGTGATGGGGCTGGAGCATCCCAAAATCTGCTCTGTTTTGGTTTTAAATGGAAAAAGAGGGGGAAAAGGAGAAATCCCAACTGCTGGGATTGGGAGGGGAAGTGAAACCCAAATTTCACTCATTTCTTTAGCACCAGGGAAGGGAAAAGGGACAGAAATTGAACCTGATGGGAGAGTTGGGAGAGTTGGAAATTAAATAGAGCCAAGTGAATTTGCAGGTGCTGGAGCCCAACTTTGGAGTTATGAACAATAAAGGAGATTGAAAAGGAAAAAAAAAAGTGGAAAAAAAACCAGCAAAAGGTCAGGCAGGAGATATTAAAGGCAAACATTTTAAAAGCAAAAGGTGTCATGGTTTTGGTCCAGCTTGGGGTTATAAAGTTTTACATATTTGTGTATAAATGTACATATATACACATTTACACTAATTAATGACATGATCATTTATGTGTATGGACATTTTTATATATTAACAAGCACAAATAAATGTAAAGGTATATCAGACAAATAAATAAAAAATATGTATAAGCCCATTTCTTTATAAACACAGAAATAAATATGTTGTAGTGTATCAGACAAATAAATAATATATATTATTTATATCAAAAAACAGGAAGAAACATTGAATAATTATAGATAATATATACAGATACAGAAATAAGTGTATTAGACAAATAAATAAATTATATATGTAACATTTAGCAAGAACCAGAGCTTCCTTTTGCTCCATGCCTCGAGGGAGGACTGAACATTTACAGGTAAAAATAGGCAAATACTAATTTTTTTACAAATTTCAGCAGAGAGGGAGGCAAACCAACCCCTTTGCAATAAATTTCCACTGAGATTTTAAGCTGAAACCGCTGGATTTGGGGTGCTGCTGATGCATTTGAGCCTCAGTCGTTTCAAATTCTCCCTGAAAATTTTTATTTTAACTGAATCTCGTGATAATAATGCAAAGCACAAGTTTGACCTGAAGTGTGACAGCAAGTTTTTTTTAAAGGATTTGATAGTTTTAATTAAAAACTGCCCCATAAATGGGTGTTGCCCTGTTCCAGGGGATGGCAATTTTTTGGGTTTGGTGCTGGAAGGACGCTCAGGGATTCTCAGGAGCAATGGCACAAGAACATCTCCCATCTTCAAGATCCATATTTACCTAATTATGTTTTTATAAATATAAAAGTTTTTAAAATAAGCACAATGTTTGTTGTCAGGGCGATTTTTTGCACAGCACGTCCCCGTGATGGCGGCTGAAGTTGGGTGATTTGGGCACCAAAAAAATCCGATTTTTTTTGGCTGTCTTCTCACAGCTCTGAGGTGACTCATTGCTGGGCTTGGCGAGCTGGAAGAGGTTCACCTAATTTTGGGATAAAATTGAAAATGACTGTGTCTAGACAGTAATACCTGCTTTGAAAGAATTCTTGGCAAACCGCGGCGTTGCAGCTGATTTAATCTGGGACTTCTGTGCAACATCCCTTCCTAAATTACCCCACACAATAAAGATGGTGGGACTTTCTTCCTGTGTTTTCCCCTGGTGAAAAGTGGGGGAAAATGTGTTAAAAATCTAAACCTTCTCTTTGCAGGCAAAGCTATTCCTTTCTATGCTTTACCCGCGTCCCGAACTCCCAAAACTCCGCGTGGAACGCCGTAAAACTCGCGGGGAAAAGCGCAACAAACCCGATTTTGAGGTTATTTTACATTCTTTTTCCCCCTCTCTCCTTTACTCCCTGCCCTCCCCAGATGACAGCCACAGCCCAGCAGCCCACCAAAGCCCAGCCCGTGCACCTCACCACGCCGGCGGCGGCTGCCAACGCGCCGGTGCCGGCCGCGGGCGGCGACCCCCAGGCGCAGCTGGAGGCCGACAAGAGGGCTGTCTACAGGTGAGGCAAGATAATTGCATTCATTAATGCCTTTTAATTAATGGTTTCGTTGTTATAATGCAGGGTTGTTATTGCATCTGTTCGGCGATGCATTAATTAATGCATTGGTTCCTTGATGCATTCGTTATTATTATTATGCATTATTAATCTGCTGTCTTCTGATGCATTAATTAACACACGGGAAGGGGGGAATTAGCAATTAGCTCCTTTTTAGCAATAATAACCATTGATTATAGTGCCTGGTGATGGAGCTCCTTTGTGGACTTTGTTTTGCCCCTTGAAAATATTTAAAACCCCCCTTAAATTAACTTTTTTTTGGGGAAAAGCCGTGTGATTTGGGGCTGGACAAGGAGTGAAGTCACACATTAACCTGAAATGTGCAGTTCCTGCATCTCTACATGGTGTGGGCAGTGATGGGTGGCTCCTGCTGTCCTTTTTTTTTCAATTTGAGCATTTTAATATATTATATTTTATCATATTATATTTTAATATATGATATTTTAATATATTATATTTTAACATATTATATTTTAATATATTATATTTTAATATATTATATTTTAATATATTATATTTTAATATCAGCAGTTACTGCATAACTACTGTAAGTAATATTCTAATTATGTAAATAGTATAATTATGTAAGTAATACGTAATTATACAAGTGATGTGTGATAATTTACAATATTAGATCATATTCTTACATGATGTAACAATATTCTAATAAAATTAGGGTTAAAGTTTAAGGTTTAGGATTAACCCATCAATGACCAGGGATGTGGGGCCTTGTGAAGCAAAAAATTGCAGCTTGGACTTGAAGGAATTAAAATATTTGTCCTCCAAATATTCAAATCCTACAAAGCTGAAAGGTCTGAAAAAGTGGATGAAAGCATGGAATAAACTCACTTTTTCCCAGGAAAACACAAAGGATTATTTGCTGCAGGTCTCCCAGTGATGGAAATAATTTCCTCAAAGCAAAAGAAGCTATTTGAGGACAAAACCACCTTCTTTTCTCCCTTCCATGAGATGGAAATTCTTCAGATTCACAAATTCTGCAGCATTTGTGGGATAAAGGGGGAAAAAAACCCAAACCCCACCCTTGGAATTTTCACAGCCTTAACTGGAAGGTCAAAGAAATGCAAAAAACACCTTATGGGGAGGCATTCTCCTGCAAAAGATGGGGGAAATTTGTTTCCCAGTTCCATGTGTATACTTCTTGCCCAAAACTAGACACTTAATTTTTGGGAACTAGCCAAAACAACCCCACAAATACATTTTTATATAAAACAAATATATACTGCTATATGTTTATGCAATACATTATATAATTACATAAAATTTAACCTTTTTTTGCTGAATATCCCTTTTCCAGTGGTTCAGATGGATGGTGTATATTCCATTAGGTATCAAATGCACACAAGGATTTTTCCTCAGCCCTCTGAGGTCCATTTCCCTCCACCCAAAACAATGGATTTTTGTTAATTTTCAATATTTGCACCAGGGCAGGAGGCATTGGCTGTGTCAGTCGATCAAGCTGGAGGGAAATTGCTGGGAAAATGTGATGGGAAATATAAAAACCCATGGACAAGTCGCCCTGCCGGGTTTTATGCCCTAGCAGGAGGTTTATCACCCGTTAAAAAAAATAGAAAAAAGGGGAAAAAAAATATCCTTCTCCACCCTTCTTGATGTGGGAGCAGCTTGGCAGGGACTGGGACAGCAGTGTCACTTCTCAGCTGCAATTTTCTGTCAGCTGAAGTGTTGTCTTGACTTTATGCAACAGCGGGGCTGGGACTTCCCAATGGATTTTGGACCAGAAAAGATGATGCTCCTGAAGGGAAATGATGCTTAAAGCACCCGAGCACCACAAATTGGATTTTTCCAAGTGGGAAATGGCTGGATTTCTTTGCATTAAGTTTGGTTGGGGGCTTTTTGTGTGGTTTTTTTTTTTTGTTGGTTGTTTTGTTTTGTTTTTTGTTTTTTTTTGGGTTGTTTGGGGTATTTTTAGGGGAAAAGGGGTGAAAAAAAATATAATTCCTGTTGTGATGTGCCTGCTGTGCTGCTGGCTCGGCTGAAGGTGGGAAATTAGGCCATTAGAGGAATTCATTCCTCTTTATTAGCCCGTGTCGAATCCTTTTTATTAGTGGCAGCAAACGACCTCTCTCCTGCAGGAAAATGTCAGGGCTGGTTCAGCCCTTTCATTTGGAGGATTCCCTGGCAAAAAAAAAAAATACCAACCCAACTAACAAAACAGGTTTTCTTTTTGTAATCAGCAAGAGCAGATTTTTCTACTCCAAAACTCTCCTTCATGCCATAACTCTGGGACACCCACAGTGGGGAAAATCCTCCCCTGTGTATCCTGGATATCCATCTCGCTGGATATCTACTGTAGATTTCATGGCAAAATGCTCCAGCTCTCAGTTTTTATGCCACAATCTCCACCTGCTGTGCTGGGCCATCCTTTCCTTTGCATGGTGTGACCACAGAAAGGCTGGAAATGGAGAAAACTGTGCTTTGAGTTTTCCTGAAAAAAATAAATCCCAAATTCCACAGCAATTCACAGAAAACTCGTGGTAAATCCCCAAATTCCAGCACTCCTGGAGACTGCTCTCAGAGGGTGCCCTTGGTGCCCTCCCTTAACCCATCCCTGGGGGTCTTGGTCCTCTGATTTCATCTTGTGTTTGTTGTTTTGGATTTTTTTTAATACATATTTTTAAAGTTTTGATTTTTTTTTTTTTCTGTTTAATGTAATTTAATGTTATTTTATTTTGTTTGGATTTAAAAAAAATTATTGTTTTGCTTCATTAAATTTTGTTTTTACGCATTGATGGATTTGATTGGATCGGATTCCAATTATTATTATTTTTTTTTAAATTTTATCTTAGATTCTGAACTTTTTATTCCATTTTATTTTCAGCTGAAAAGCAAACCATTCTACCCTCAGCCATGTTCCTTCCTCCTCCTACTCCCTTCCAGCCCCTAAACCTTTCTGGGGGCCCAGAGCAGCGCTGCCCCCGTTATCAATACTGAGGAGCACGGGGTGATGCTGGCAACGTCCTTGGTCAATGCAACCCCTCAAAGAAAAGGGTTTTTCAAAGAAAATTTCTGAGGGGCTGCAACCCCCTTCTCCCCTCCCCAAACCCCCATCCATGGGCTAATTCCTCTGCTCCTAATTGATGGAGGGGCTCTGGAAATGGCAGCAGGCACCTGCTGCGGTGCCACCGCTTCATAAGTCCCAATAATTCAGCTTTACGCCTGGAATTTGCCTTTCATATCCCTTGGCTAAGCTCCGGCGGGGCTCCTGAAATTATGAAATGATTTCCCCCCCTCGCCACTCTCTGCTGCAGCCTCGGTGAATCTTGCATTAAACCAGGATCAGGACAGATTAAACTATAATATGCTGTGGTATTAGCGGCTGCAAATGAAGACTTAGCCAAGGGGTTTAACCCCTTCGCCTGACTCCGACTCAAAAAGGCTGTGAGGAAGTGATTCATAATCACCTTTTGGGCCATCTTTTGGAGGTAAGATGGTGGAGCCAATCCCATTGTGCTTGGATAACTGGAGTGCTGTGGGAGACCATTCCTGCAGGAGTATTTTGCATTTCTGCCTGGAAAAACTCCATAAAACATTTTTTATTTGAATTTGCACAGCTGGAGAGGCTCGCTGAGGCTTGCCCTAGGCTGTGGTCTTCATCCTCGTATTGTCCACATGCTTTGGTGCTGATTGTGTATTTGCACTTTACATTGCATCAGTTTAGCGTCATCACTGGAGAGGTTTGAGTTTCAGGAAGAGCTATAAATTTTTGTTTTCAAGATCATCTCATGGTAAGAGAGAAATGGGATTTGACCCATCTTTGTGGACTTGCCAGAGGTGCAAAGAGACCTCTTGGTGGAGGAGCAGCCCATAGCAGGGTTGGTCCATAGTGTGCTGCAGGCAGATAGGAGTCCCCATCCATCATCTCCAACCAACATTTTGAGGTAAAATACTACCATCAGTGAGCAGGTGCTGATGTCCGTCCTCGAAAGGAGGAGCCACTTGGACAGCAGGTGGCTCCAGGGCATCTTGTCTATGTCCAAGACAGACTTTGTGCCCATTTGGGAAATGCTGACTTTGATGCAATGGTGGAAAACACCAAGACTTTGGAACAAGTCATTGCCTCAGGGAGGAAATAGTGAATTTTACAACTTTTAAGCTTTGGTTTTTTGTTGCTGAAAGAGATCAAGAGGCAGCACTTTCAGTGTGACTTGGGAGTGAGGTTTGCACCACCAGGTTCTTACAGACTGGGAGAGAATGATGGAGGATGGATGGATGATGGATGGATGGATGGATGATGGATGGATGGATGGATGATGGATGGATGGATGGATGGATGGATGGATGGATGGATGATGGATGGATGATGGATGGATGATGGATGATGGATGATGGACGGATGGATGGATGATGGATGGATGGATGGATGGATGGATGGATGATGGATGGATGAATGGATGGATGGATGATGGATGGATGGATGGATGATGGATGGATGATGGATGGATGATGGATGGATGATGGATGGATGATGGATGATGGATGGATGATGGATGATGGACGGATGGATGGATGATGGATGGATGGATGGATGGATGGATGGATGATGGATGGATGGATGGATGGATGATGGATGGATGGATAACTGAGGTGGGGTGAAGAGGCACATGGGACCTAAAACAGTGGGCATTATGTCCTCTGCAGGCACCCGCTGTTCCCACTGCTGACGTTGCTCTTCGAGAAATGTGAGCAGGCGACGCAGGGCTCTGAGTGCATCACCTCGGCCAGCTTTGATGTCGACATTGAGAACTTTGTCCACCAGCAGGAGCAGGAACACAAGCCCTTCTTCAGCGACGACCCCGAGCTGGACAACCTGGTATAGGCAGCTGGGGCTTGGTAGATGATTTTTGGGGGGTATTGACAAGGTAGGGGGTGAGGAACAAATGAAGATCTACCACCATGTCCTTGGGCTCTGTGGTGCCATCTCAGCAATGTTTTCCACACTTGTGAGACCTTCTCCAGGACCTTCTCCAGAAGATCCCCTGTAAGAACAACCCCTCTGGCCCCTTTTGGCTTATTGTCCCACACAGCCTTCATGGTGGTCAAGGAGGTTCCTGAAAACAGCTGAGATCGCTGGCTGGTTTGTGACCCAAAACTTGGAGGAATTACTGCTCCTCATGCAATGTGCAGTAGTGTCAGCTCTCTCAGCTGGCACCATCTGGTTTGCAGTGTCCTGGCCAGCTCAGGTCCTAGAAGCAGAGTGAAATGATAACGTTTTCCATAGGGTAATGGATATCAACAGTTTGGAACACTTGGTCTGGTTTTGGTGGATTTCATGCCACATCAACTCAGACTTCCTACTGCATCCATTGCTGCTGAAAGGTGTCTCACAAGACTCTGCTTGGGATTTCTCTCAAGGTGTTGACCTCAGGAAATATCCCCAAATCCTGTTATTTTGTCCAGAAAGCATCCAAACGTGGTCTCCATGGCAAACATCTGGGTTAAGACAAGTTCATGGCACCGTCCTGATGCTCCACAAGCAAATTTTCATGTTCTGAAAAAGCAATTCTGAGCACTTCTCATGATGCAAGCAGCAAAAACCTTCCCTGGGGGGCTGTGTGTCCGATGGGACTTGTAACAGAGGGATTTCCATCCCAGAAAAGAAGCAAAATCAGGCATTTCACAGGCTACTTTATTATTGTTATTATTTATTTTAAGTATTCAGGTATCAAGGAGGCGATTTTGAATGTATCACAAAGAGAAGAACTAGCAAAACTTGTCTAGGTGCAGGAATTACTGTTTTTTTTAAAAAAAGTCAGAAAGGATTTCAAGGTGAAGTAAAAGCTCACATGTTTGTGCTTACATGTTGTGTGAAGGAGAGTTTTTTAACATCCCTAAACCAAGAGTCTGTGGAACAACCTCCAAGAAATTTGCAGGCAAAGCCTTTTTTGCAAGAACTTGCAGTCAAGAACAGAAATTGCTCTGGGACAAGAAATCAAAAAAAAAAAAAAAAGCAAAAACCCAACAATCCAACTGATGTTTTGGATTATTTCAGTTTTTGGATTGAGTGAATGCTGAGGTGCACCAACAAACCCCAATTGCATTAAATTGCATAAATATGGATGTAGTGGTCTAGCAGGAGGAGAGAAAGAGCCAGGTGAAGAAAAAAAAATCTAAAATTTTGGGAAAGGAAAACATATTTCTGTACCTATCAGGATGAAACATCACCAGCAAACAGTGCAGGAAATGTGTTCACACTGGCTATTTTCAGGGTTTTTTGTGGTTTCTCAAAAAGAAAAACCCACTACACAGCAATCATGGTTTTTAGGCATATTCTCTTGCTGCCAAGGTGAAATTTGGCCATGAGCAGTTGGGTTGATCCCATGGATGAACTTGCAGCACATTCATAGTCATATTTTTCTGTATGTGTTGCTGTGTCATTCTGTATATCTGTATCTCAATTTAGGTTTTTTTTTCTAGTTCTAGTACATAGCTGGATCGATATTTTCTGTCCAATGTCCAGAACTCCTCTGAAAAAGGAGGAGCCATCCACCTCAGTAACCTGCATCATGGTACATATTCTCCAGCATCATATCATGGTTGATATGATGCTGGAGAAGCACATTCCTGTTGGTGGGAGGCACTAGTTGAAAGAAATTTTGTGTTTAGAAGTCTTGCAATGCTCAAAACACAACATTTCAACCTGCTCTTGAGCTGACACTTTTTCCTTATTTACACTGTCCTTTATTTTTTGGTTTTTTTGGTTTTTTTTTTTAACTTTTGTTATTATTTTTTGGGTGTTGCTTCTTCTTTTTTTTTTTTTTTTAACACCACCCACTTGCCAGGAATTGGTGATGGCACAGCAGGGCTGAAAAGGCCAGTGGCATTAGCTATCATTAGAATAAGAGTCATGTATTCCTCGCTGCCAAGATGCACATAATTAGAAATTAGAAAAAGGTCAGATCTCACCATTATCAACTCAATCAGCTGCCGAGTGCCACACAGTCAATTAATTCAGCATCTGTATTTTTTACAACCCCGCGCACGTACGCCATCGGACTGTAACTCTTTATCCGGACAGATATACGACGCAGCGGAGCAGGGACATAAAATGAGACCCTAAGCAAATGAGCTGAGATAATTGAGAGATTTATTTTTTTACATATATGTGTCAGGTCTTCTTGCCTTTGCCCTTGAATATTGACTTTCATGGCCGGTGAGCCCTGGGAAGATGTGGAAATCCTGGGTACGACACCTCCACCTTGTGCTTTGCCTGTGTCAGCTGTGGAGGAAGGGGAAAAAAAAAAACAGGAAAAAAAAGAAAGAAGAAAAAAAAAAAAGCTAAATAAAACATTTTTTTCCAGCCATTTTTCAACCCATCATCCTTGTTATTTACCCACCAAAAATTCACTTTCTCCGTCGTGGAGCTGCCGCTGGAGTTTGGCCCTGGATTTTTCAGGATGTTTCCCAACCATGGCAACTTGCAGTTTGTAAAGATGACCACTAAAATTTGCAAGTTAAAAACACTCTTTGAAATGCAAAGACGCTTTGTTACATAAAACCGGATTTATTGCCCCGGAGTGAATAGCTGAAATTTTATATATTATGCAAGATTTCAAACAGCGGCTGTAAAACTTAAGGTTTCAGCTCGGTGAGAGGAATGTTTTATGTGTAAATTTTTTAAGGTTTATGGGGTACGTTTTAATGAGGCCCAGGCTTTGCACCAGCAACAGCTCACGGCTGAGCTGCAGCCCCGTAATCTTGTTAGAAGAAGTGGCCTCCAGAGAATAACCAAACACTTCTCAACAACGAGGGGTTTGGCTTGCACTTGTTTTTTTGGGGCGTGGGGAGCAATTCCCATGAAGGCAATGGTGAATTTGGTGAATTATTTCCTCTTGGATCTCAGGCAAGGAGAAGAAGAATGCAGCTATGCAGAGGGATGGGCTCTGGGATGGGTTTGGGGCAAGAATATTCATTTTTTTTGTGTGTTGAGAAAGGAAATTGATTTCATTCTGCTGTAAGAGATTTGTTCTACGTTTGGTTTTGGGGGAGAATATTGATTTGAGCTTTGTGCCCTTTGTGTAGATGGTGAAGGCAATCCAGGTGCTGCGCATCCACCTCTTGGAGCTGGAGAAGGTCAATGAGTTGTGCAAGGACTTTTGCAACCGTTACATCACCTGCCTCAAAACCAAGATGCACAGTGACAACCTACTCAGGAATGACCTGGGGGGGCCCTACTCCCCCAACCCCTCCTCCATCAGCCTCCACCCCCAGGTAATGCCTTCAAATTCCTCTCTAATTACCATTGCTGCACTTTGGCCAAGTTGTGGCCTCCTGAAAAGTTGTCAGAGTCCATTCCCAACAATTTAAAGAAAAAAAAATAATTCCTGCATATCCTGCATCTTGTTCCTAGAGTGCAATAAATGATGTTGTGGTGACTTTTTTTCTTTATTTTAAATTTTTTTATGGGGTTTTTTTCCATGGGTTGGCAGAGCTACAACCTCGATGTCTGTGGCTCTGCAAGAGAAAGAATGAAGAACTCCTAAACTCTAATGTTGCAGCAATTAAATGTGAGGGCAAGGGAGCCCTCACATTTAATAATATAAACAAGAAACTTGCATTTTTTAATGAAAAAAATTGGCAAGAAGGACAAAAACATCAGGATTTTCTTCACTGCTTCTCTCTCACTTTTTTGTTTCAAGGCAGCTCAAAGGATTTTTGGATCTCAGATAACCCTTTTTGGCTTCACTGCTCCTTTTTGTGTCTCAGCACATCTTGCAGTTCTCCCCAGCATGACCAACATTCCCTTGACTTCTTTTGTATAATTTGGATTTTAGCTGGGAGAAGAAGACATTTGGTGCCTCAAGCGTAGTGGAAGAGTACAAGGAAATGCCTGAGAACTGCAGAAATATCAATTAAGTTGAACCTTGGTGGCTTTTGGGGCAAAATAAGGGACTGAAATTCAATATTCAGAAAAGAACTTTCCCATGGGTTGGGGTTTTCATGTGCTCTGCAGTGAAGGGAATAAATCTTGGCTGGTTGCATCCAAAAAAAACTTGGTGCTATATTGTGTTCCCCTAGAGCATTTCTTTCTCTCGGACACTTGATTTTTGGGGTAGAAAAATGGAATTTAGGGTTGCACAATCCCACCAGGAATAACTGCAGGGAACCCAAAATCATCCAGGCAGTTCCTAAAAAGAAGGAAAGTGGTGGGGCCTGCTTAGGGCTTAGGACTTGGGGCATTTTTAAGGTGGTGGAAAGGAAAAAATATCATTTTTAGCAGCTCAGCTCCGGGTGCTGCAGAGTTCAAACTCCCAACATGATGAGGAAAAAAAAACCCCAGAAAACTTCTGTTTCTTATTTGGGTTCCCTGAAAGCACCAAACCACTTAATCATTGATCTAAGAAACCCCATCCTCACTCTATATTCTAATAATCTCTAGAAATAGACTTATTATCCCTTGGCTGCTTTATGGAAGCATTCCTTATGATCAAAATTAGCAAGACACTTGCATAAAAGAGAACAATAATTGCTCAACGAGCATCTCGTTTGTAATTTATTAGTTTCTATTATTGTGCATTGCCATGGCAACAGCTCACATCCCGGGTGATGAGAGAGATGTTAGATATGAGCCGACAAAGCTCCCGGTCCCAGCAAATGGAGATGCACGTTTTTTATCAGTAATTAGTCTATTTCTAGAGATTATTAGAATATAGAGTGAGGATGGGGTTTCTTAGATCAATGATTAAGTGGTTTGGTGCTTTCAGGGAACCCAAATAAGAAACAGAAGTTTTCTGGGGTTTTTTTTTTTTAAGTGTTGATCTAATTAGAATGCATCGGTCAGGAAAAGTAATGAGGATTTAGTGTCTCACAAAGAGGTGGGGATCATATCAGAAAATTAGCACAAGTCTTTGGAAAATAATCAGGCCCATGGAGAGGTACCAAGGGCTTCTGATTCCTGGAAACCCAGAGCTGCTGACATTTCCCTTCTGGGCCAGACTTGAAAGTTGAGGAATTCAACCGAGGATTTGAAGGCAGTTGTGAAATAAATGGGAACACACCCAGGAAAGACCCAGCTGGAGGGGAAATGTTGGCCCAGCCACTGAGGGATTTTCAGCAAGTGGAGTGAAATATTCACGGTGATGGACCACGAGAGAGCCACCACCTCACCTGGGCATGGGATGAGGATGCCAGACCAGCGACAAATACAATATTTTCTGTGTCCAACTACGCCGTGTCAAGTGCTTGAGTGCTCCAACTCATTGAGTACACTGGAGTTTGCATGGTTAAAAAAGGCTGGAAATACTCTGTATCCATCAGCTGAATTTTAGAGGCTCCAGAGAGCTGAAAAATCATGGGATTGCTGTTTAAAAAATGGCAAGTGGGATGATTTCTCTAATTATTGGCCTGTTGGTTTCATTCTGAGGGGAGGTGCAAGAGCAAATGGGCCATTGATTTAGGATTTCAAAAAAAACTAAATAATGAAATGTAATCAGTATCAATCAGTATCAATTAGTATCAATTAGTATCAATTAGTATCAGTGAAGGAGGTTTCTCAGCAAATAAGTTTTCTTAGGGTTTGGTAGGAGCACCAATCATTTTGTGAGGAGATACACCAGGTTTGTAATGGAAGTGAAATATTTCAGTTTTTTGGCTAAGTTTTTTACCAAAGGACATGTTAAAAAAATTATGGACACACAATAACAAGGATATCAACCAAAACTGGGAAAACAATGTTTGGACCTGTCGAAATATCATCACAGGACAATCTGTTGGATTTCCCTGGTGTCTCCAAAAAGGATGATCCTTCACCTGCTCTTATTTCTGCTTTTGAAGATGGAAAATGCATGAATTTTTGGAGATGCAAAATGCCTGAGATGATGGGAAGATGAGAGAACACTCAGACAAGATGTTTTGGCTGTTGCTGAAATCTCAACAGGTCCAGAGATGATTCCTGGTGTTGCCCAAGTTTGGCTGACGAGTGTGGGGTTCTCCAATTTGATGAGTTTTCCCTGAACTTTCATTACCTTACGAAGATTTTTGTGTCCTCTTTACTCCATTGCTTCCTCATTTTGTGCTTTGCTTTGTCTGGAGATTGAGTTGTTGACTCTTTGTCCTGCAAGTCCACCAAGCAATTCCTCTTCTATTTTTGTTGGTTATTTTCACATGGCTTCATTCCTCCACCTCAAGTCCTCATTGGGCTCTTTTTATCCCCCTCCCTTTATTTAATGAGTATTTTTTTAGGTTTTTCTGACCAGGATGGGAGAGGGGAGGTCCTTAATTTTGTCTTTTTCAGCTCTCCTTTCAGATTGGCAATGTTTGAATGGGCATTTTCAGGACAGCATTTCTTCTTAGATTACTTCTCCACAATCACAGAATGGTTTGGGTTGGAAGGGACCTTAAAACCCATCTTGTTCCAGCACTCTGCCATGGGCAGGGACACAGACTGTTGGTGGACAGTTGGGTTGGTGGAACTTGGTGATCTTCAGATCTTCATTTCTCCAAGTTTGCCCCTTGGATTTCTCTTTATTTAAAGCCAATTTTTTTCTTGTCTCCATCCACCCATCCATTCACATCCATTCACGTTTCAGTTTTTGGCTAAGTTTTTTACCACAGGACATGTTTAAAAAATTATGGACACATAATTATGAATTATCTGACATGGATTTGAGTTTGGCCAGCTCCTTCTTGGCAAACCCATGGATTTCTTTTTTTTTTTTTTCTACATCTAATCCAAATTTCCTCCAGCACAAGTAATTTTCAGAGTTAGGATGAGATAGACATTTTGACACATTGTGTACCACCCAAAAATGAATGTTTGTGTCATAAAGCACAAGGGAAGGACAGCAGCTCAAGTAGCTGCTGTGAATTTTAGCACTTTCTTACAATTTGTCACTTGAACATTTTCCTTGTTGTAAGAAAGGGTTTTTTTGTGTCATGTCCCAGGTCTTTTCTTCATTGAAGTGACTTTTAATTCAGAGAAATGTTTTGCTGTTGATCAGTGCTGAGATGTGGGTCTGCAGAGACACCTAGTGATGCATTTTTTTTCACGCTCAGATTTCAAAATTGCCAAAAACATTTCAGCTTTAGGGTGGTGCAGCACCAGCCCAGGGTGCCCAGAGCAGCTGGGGCTGCCCCTGGATCCCTGGAAGTGCCCAAGGCCAGGCTGGACAGGGCTTGGAGCCACCTGGGACAGTGGAAGTAGGCAGGGGGTGGAGCAAGAAGAGCTTCCTTCCAACCCAAACCATTCTGGGATTCTGTGAACTTCCTTGAGTCTCAAAATATAAAATATAAAATGTATAAAATATTTTCCACTGCAGAAAAACTGCCAAGCCTAACAGCATTTGGTTGACATTTGCAGTCTGAGGCAATTGGTATGCAAAATATATATTTTTAAATCTTCTTGGAGATATCTATATTTATTTGAAGGTTTATTTGGAATATTTGAAGTATTCCACTTCCATTGGGTCACTTTGGTTTCACAATTCTGTTGCAGGAAGATCATTAATTCCTTTAAATTAATTCCTTTAAATTAAAAAAAAAAAAGCTCTTTCCAATAACTACCAATATTCTTCCTTTTTGGACACCAGTGTTGATGTTTTGGGAGAGTTTTCCTCTACCCCACAAAAACAAAGGCAATTTTTTTCATCACAAAATACTGTTGGAAATGGCTTTGACCACTGGATCTGGAAACAACAGCTTTCTATTCCCCTTTTCTGATATTCCAAATTGCTTCTTCCCAATGCACTCCCAAAAATGATGTTCTGGATGCCCTTCTTTAGGAATAAACATGGAAAAACCAAGGCAGGGGAGGAAATCGAGAGGTCTTCAAGCTAATCCAAACTTCTGGTTGCACCTGGCCATATCTGGGTGCTTTTGGGTGTTCTCCTGGACCACATTTGTTTTTTTTAATGAATATTTCCACACTGTTTATCATTTGCCAGGGCTAAATCCAAGAATGTGCAGAAGAGACTGAATTTTGCTCTCTATATCCTGAGAAATACTCATTTCTCAAACTGAAAACTACATCCCCCAGAAGACTGGAGGTGGGGAAGGAATACTAAAAAAAGTACAAGTATTTTACAGTCATATTTGCATTTTTAAAATTAATTCAGCTATGGAAAGGAATGTCTGGGAAGTGAATGAAAAATTCACAGTAATTGCAGCAAAATTTCCAGATAAGAAAAAAGAACAAAATTAACTTGAGGCAGATATTGGACCCAACATTTTGGAATTGGCATCACAGGAGGGGAAAGTGCAATAAAGGGGTTTTAATAGAGAAAACATTGAATTTAGTGAGAATGATGGCACAGGCAAAGCAGTGGTGATTGATGGGGAAAAAGTTGCATGAATGTGCTGGGGAGAAGGAGAAAAAAGGAACAGAACTCAGGTTTTCCTCCCCAGCAATGGGAAATGCAATCACTAATCCAGGGAAATTTTCTTTTCTTAACCCAAGGAACAGGATTCTTGAAGAAATGCATCAAAATGTAGGAAAAATTAATGAAAAGATGAAAAATATCCCCTTTGTTGACATTTTGTTCAACATTCAGAATCAGCTGGACAGCAGGGAAGTGATGCAGAGTGGGAAAGTCAGTAGGAAAGGGACAAAAAAAATAAGTGCAGTTTTATATCCATTTCAGTTGGGTGAATTAGAGAGATGTAGTTATTTTTGGTTTATTTGAAAATGATCATTTTATCAATATTACCAATGTTATTTGCAGAATCCTGCCCACGTGGAAGCTTGGGGTACATTTCCCATTGTGGCACTCCTCCCTTCCCAAAATATCACATTAAATACTCAAATAGTCATTTAAATATTAAAATAAATAATCAAATAATCATCCCATTTGGAGTTCTTTTAGTGGTTGCTCCAGAGGTGGGCCTTAAAATAAAATTACAGCTTTTGGCTCAAAAAAATTGCCCATTTTTGAAAGAAATCAGCTTAAAGCTGCAAGGAATTATATCAATGGGATTATATAAGTATTAACTTCATTATTTTACTCTAAGGGAAACCGTGGTGCTCACCCTGAATTTTAGCAAAGGCTGCATCATCCAGTCCCAGTCAAAGCACCAAAAAAATTAGAAATGCTTAAAAAGAAAAAGATGAAAGAAATTCTTTTTGGTCCCTCACCATCTTTTTATTTCCTTCTTTTTTTTTTATGGAAAAGAGGAAAGGTTTTTTTTTTCCTTCTTTTTTTTTATGCACAGAGGAAAGGTTTGGGAGAGATGCTAAACAGGGGCTTTGCAAAGCATAAATCCTTATTTCTCTGCAACAAACAGAAAAATCACATTTTCTGCGCTTATTCCACCAAAATAAAATAAAATAAAATATCTCAGGGGGTAAAAATAAAACTCCCATGCTGCAATTCACAGGTTTGACATTCTCTTTTGTGCAGGAGATGCTGCAGAGCTCTCCAGCTGCGTTGCCACCGGCGTCCAACCCCGCTCCGGGCATCGTGGTGCCCGCGGCCACGCTGCCACCGGGCAACCTGGCCATGGGCACCGGCAGCAGCTCGCCCGCCGTGCCAGGTAGGGAGCCCAGGGGAGGTGGTGGCCAGGTGGGAATTTGGGGGGTTTTGGTTTCCCCCTCTGTTGGGGTCAGAGATGCAAGATATATATATTTATCTGTGATGCCTGACAGCCAAGAAAGCACCGAGTTTCACACAGCACCACGGAGACAACGGTTAGAGTTAAATAGAAAAGATTGAAAATGTGTGTGAATTAGAAAGTTTCTTGAGTCACTGGGTGAATGGGTTGAAGTTTAGAGTTTAAGGTAGTTTAGAGAGCAGAGGACAAGATGGAAGATTTAGAGTGTTGTCTCTTGTCCTTCTTCTTTCTTCTTCATGTTCTTCTCCTAGGGGTTTTTGGGTGGTAGTGAGTGATTGGGTAAAAAATGCCGCAGTGCAGCACACAGGTGTTGGGTCATTGGGTCACTAAGAAAAATAATTTAGTTGGCATCTGTAAATTGGGTAAATGGACATATAAAAGACCTTGAAGAGGATCTTTGTAAGCCATTTTACCCTTTTCTATCATAGTGCACATAGCTCCTTGTACCTTGTAATGCTGATAAGAAAAGAATAAACAACTGAGACTGAACTAGAGAAAACTGCCTCCCTCTCATCAATCTTCAGTTCAAAGGGAAAAAGAACCCAAATCCAAAAGTCCTTAATGAGACACCCCACGTGTGGTTTTTGTGCCGTAGGTGGAGCCTTGTACCAGCCTGTGACAATGGTGACGTCGCAGGGCCAGGTGCTCGCCCAAGCCATCACCCCTGGTGCCCTGCAGATCCCCAATGCCCAGGTAAGGCCTCCCCAGATCAAGCTGAGCCCAAAGTTTGCACTGCAGCAGGCAGAACCCTCCATTTCTCCATAAATTCAATCCTTGGAGGATCTTCAATTTTTAATTAGCAAGAAACGTTGATTAAACCCATCTGCCAGGTGCCTTTGGGGTATCTAACAAATTATAGCAATGACCTAAGAAGTTATAACAATGCTTATATTATTGTTATAAAATATTACAACATATAGTAATAACATACATAATATTATAGTATTCATAACATAACAGAACATAACATAACAACACAACATTATTATTCTATTCTATTCTATTCTATTCTATTCTATTCTATTCTATTCTATTCTATTCTATTCTATTCTGTTCTGTTCTGTTCTGTTCTGTTCTGTTCTGTTCTGTTCTATTCTATTTTACATATTTATGTATTATATATATTTATAGATTTATTATATATTATATATATTTATTATTTATTTTATATATTTATATATTTATATATAAATATATTTATATATGTACCTAAATAGTTATATATATATTTATATATTTATATATATTATATTTATTTTATTTATTATATATTTATTATATTATATTTAATATATTCAATGCATTGTAATAATAATACATTAATATCTATTATTTGTGCAGTATATAACATATAACAATACCTGTTATTTGTAATGTGTGATAGAACATTCTGTATTATTCTGTATTCTTTATTATATAAATACACATATTGCATATTCTATACATAATATAATATAATATAATATAATATAATATAATATAATATAATATAATATAATATAATATAATATAATATAATATAATATAATATAATATAATATAATACAATACAATACAATATATATAATATAATACAATACAATACAATACAATATATATAATATATATAGTATATAATAGATATATATACATATAGGATAGGATATAGGATAGGACAGGATAGGATAGGATATAGGATATAGGATATAGGATATAGGATATAGGATATTATTGCTGGTATTTCATATACCAGCTCTGGGGTCATTAGCATTGCCTGTTCAGCACAGCAATCATGGCACTTGTGGGAAATGCTCATTTTTAGGTCTTTCTTTCTGAATTTGGGGATATTTTTCAGCCATTTGTTCTGGTTTTATTCCTTTTCTTCTTTTTTTTCCTGACATTGCAATGAGTTATGCAATGATCCCTGCATTCTTGCAGGGAGACAATGATTTGGAGCAGAACTGGATTTATTAGCACAACTTGTCTGTGAGCTCTTCCCAACCCCTATTCCCCAGCAATCTGGAAAAAAACCAAACCCAAAACATCAATTTCTGTAACACTGCTTCCTGGGGGCAGAGCAGCAGAAATTCACCCCCATTATTTCTGAAATGCTCCATTTTAATTGCAGGAGCCTCTAATAAAACAATCAATAAACAGCATTTTGGAAAGAGGCGGCGCCTCCCTGGCAGATTTTTTTTTTGCCTGTGCAATGGTTAAAAATTTTCTTTTTATAATATCTCTCCATTGCAGGTTTAAATCTTGCAGGAAAAACCTCTGTGGGTGTGGGAAAAACATGTGCAGAGGGAATTTTGGGGCAGGGAGAGAGCCTGGACAAGCACCTTCGGATGCTCTTCCTGTGCCACTGGCATGATTTATTCAGATGGAGCCCAGGGGAATCACAGGAACCTGCTGGCCTGATGTTTAATTCATCCAGGAGAAGTGTTTTGATGAAGACTTGGGGAAAAAAAATCCCTTTTTAACTCAAGTGCTTAGATTTCAGTTCAGTTCCTGAATCCTCATTAAAACTTCTCTTGCAGCAAGATGCTTCTTTTTAATTTCTGGGGGGCAAAAAGCAAATTTTGGCTCAATGGGCATCTCCCTCCTTTTGGTGGAAATCAGCTGGGTGAGGAACATGGGTTTGCAAGGGGTTGGTGAGTGGCAGGGGTTTTTTAACTTCCAGTTGAGAAAATCATCTTTTTATGAGGTTTGCATTTTTTTTTTTTTTTACTTTATTTTTTCAGGTAAAAGTGATTTCCTCCTAAAGCACAGATTGAAATTGGTCATGGCATCATCACCACACTCCCCAGTTGTGCCATTTTACCCCTTGCAAAACACTGAGAGAAAATTTGAGATAAAAGATACAAATCCTGGGAGAAAATCTGCGTTTATGCAGATTTGGTGGAGCAGGAAATGGCTTTTGGATGCTCCTAGAAATGCCAAGTTTTTCTCACTCATCCCACCCCCATTTTGGGTTGGTTTTGCCCATTTTTTGGGTTGCCCACCATCATTTTCAACCAATTCACTCCCCATTCCTTTTCTCCTGACAGGTGAACCTGGATCTCACCTCCCTCCTTGATGGTGAGGACAAGAAGTCCAAGAACAAACGGGGCGTCCTGCCCAAGCACGCCACCAACATCATGCGCTCATGGCTCTTCCAGCATCTCATGGTGAGCCACCAAAACACCCTGCAAGACAGGAAAAAAGGACAAAAAAGTCCAGAAATCCTCAGATCCAGGTGGTGGTTTGTCTGGATTTGTGTTTGGAGGTGCAAAGTTTGTGTTTTGGGGGTGTTTTGGGAATGACTGTTGTCACTGCAGGTGGGAAAAAATATTCCCTTAAGGCAAGAAAGAGTACACAAATCTAGAAGGGGACTCCCATGACTTTTTGAAGATGGATAATTGAGAATTTTTTTGCAGTTAACAGCTCCAAAATATCCTTTTCTAGCAAGCTGGAATGTGAGAGCTGCTCACAGGTAGGGTTGTAGCACACCAGCCATCAGTCAAAACTCAGAATTGCAAAATTACCCCATTTTGAGGGATTGGAGATGGAAGGTAGAGGGAGCTTAGATGCAAACTGGATATTTTCATGCATGAAGAGTTCTCTCTCATCAGCAGGGCTGGGAGAAGGGCAAAAAGCCAAAATCCCACATTTTTTCCTGCATAATTCAGTCAAGAAATCACTTGGAAACTGGTTTCAAAGCCTGGCTCTCCACGAAGACCAAGTGGTGGGAGATCCCAAGGCAGAAGGTAAAAGCTCCAAAGAGCAACTTGTGGAAAAACCAGCCAGGACATGAAGCAGCAGCAGGTTGGGAACTTCCCAGCCTAATTTTTTTAATGGAAAATTCTGGATTTATTGCAATGAGGACAAGAGTGTTGCTGTGTCCTGCATCTCCTGTGTTTCTGGAGGGCACAACTGCAAATCTGCAGGCACAGAAAGGATTTGGAAGACCAGAAACTGCAAAGCAATTTTCTGCCAGGAGCCAAGAGAACCCTTTGGTTGAAGATTACCAAAACTGAATTGAAATTGAATTGAAAGAAACTCTTCTGCTGGATGGTTGGACCTTTGATCTCAGCCTGGTCCTCGTGGTCAGAAGAAATTTGGGTTTCCACATGAGACTTCTCCATCTGGTGGCAGAGTTTATACAGTTTTTAACCAAAAATGCTCATCATTTTACTGAAATTTCTGGAGCAGCAGCAGGAAGAAATAATATTGGAAATAATATACCAAAAATAGGATATTTCTCCCAAAAAAAAAGCCTTTTTTAACCACTAAGGCCCCAGTGGGAAGTGAGTCCCCAGAGTGCGTTGACTTTGGGTGGCTTTGTCAAGGAATTCACACTGTTCTGGGGGATAACAGATGAAAAACAAGCCATGGGGCTCCAAAACATGGCATGGTTTGATAATAATTTCATTTCTGGGGTTGGAAAAGAGCATTTCAGCACAGCTGGCAGGAGGTTGCTGGAGCTTTCAGTGCTGGTGGTTTCCAGTGCAGATGTTTCAGGCTGTTTTATTGATGCCTCTGACAATAAACATTGTGGGTTTTGAAGCACAAATCCCATGTTTACCAACAACCATCACTGGAAAATTGTTAGAGTTAAAAAAAAACAAAACCCAAGAACATTTTCCTTCAAGGGAATTTGATAGAAAACTTTGGAAAAGCCCTAAGTGCAGCTGAGGGAATCTTGATGCTCTTGGATGCCACCCTTCAATCTTGCATTCAGCAAATGCAAGAAGATACAAAATTTAGGGTGGGAAAATGTTAAAGACAAAAAGGAAAAAAGGCAGATTTTCATTATTTTTCACATCCTGCATGCAGGGATGTAATCCTGCTATCCCATCTCTCTTTGTTTCCAGCACCCCTACCCCACAGAGGATGAGAAGAGGCAAATTGCCGCCCAAACCAATCTGACCCTCTTGCAAGTCAACAACTGGTGAGCAGATCCTGGTGGCCCACAGGGTCATTTTGCTGGCTTTAGAACCTTTTTCACCCTCTTTTGGTGCTGTTTAATGCTTTTTGGGGGGTTACTTGGGTGGTTAAGGCTGATTTTTGGGGTGTCCTGCACAGCACCAGGAGCTGGACTCAGTGATTCTGGTGAGTCCTTCCAGCTCAGCAGGAATTTGATTTTGTGACTGGGATTTCTGGGAGATGAGCTTGGTTGTGTTTAGTGTCAGTGCTGGTTTGCAAGGCCTCAGTGCCCTCTCCTGGCAAATCCAGGAAAAATTAATGCAGAGCTATAATGTGCCACAGGCAAATAAAAATCCCCCAGCTTCTTGAAGCATGAAGCTGATTTCTTAAAGTATTATTATTATATTTCAACTCATTGATTGCTATAATGTTGTTTTAACTCGGTATTGGTGTAACAACTCTTACTCCAGCGTTCTCTCTTTTCCATGGAAGGTTCATAAACGCCCGGCGGCGCATCCTGCAGCCAATGCTCGATGCCAGCAACCCGGACCCAGCCCCCAAAGCCAAGAAAATCAAATCCCAGCACCGGCCCACGCAGCGGTTCTGGCCCAACTCCATCGCCGCCGGCGTCCTGCAGCAGCAGGGGGGAAATTCAGGGACAAATCCTGATGGTAAGGACAAGCCCTGGTGGCCCCTGCCCTTCCAGGAAGTGCCTTGCACTAATTATGGCCTTAATTGGTAATTTCTAGAGCCCTTTATTGAGCTGTGGGGAAACACACGAGGTGGCCCATGCGAGAAGAGCCTTCCAGTTGGCCACCAGTGATGATCACCCACTGTGGGGCATCTCCTGGGGAGCTGGGGAAGGGAGGGAGGGGAGACACGGAAAGATGGAGATGAGAAGACACACTGAGATAAAATGGGAAGAGAGAAGATGAAAGTAGATGATGAAAGTGAAGAATAGAGAAGATGATGCTGATGAAGAGAGATGATGAACAAAGAACAGATGAGTAAAATGAAGAGAGAAGATGAAGGTGAAGAGAGCAGGAATGAACATTCACCAGATTAGATGAAGAGAAGGAAAGGTAGGACTTGAGAGAAGATGAAGAGAAGATCTGCCCAACCAATTTGGGCATCTATTTGCTCAGAACTAAGGTTTCTTTTTATTAAATGATGTATTAGCTAAAAAATTTAAGGACTGGACCTTGCAGAGTGACTGGGGTAGGTGGGACACCCTGTGGGTGAAGCTTCTCACTTGAGTTATTCTTGTTTTACGCACTTCTTTTGTCCTTTCTGTATTTTCTGGATTTCTGTCCTTATTTCTGTACTTTTAATTCCAGGTTCGCTCAGCATGGACAACCTCCAACCCCTCTCATCAGCCACTGCCACCATGGCCATGCAGCAGGCGATGCTGGCAGCCCATGACGACTCCCTGGATGGCACCGAGGAAGAGGAGGAGGATGAGGAGGATGAGGATGAGATGGAGGAGGAGGAGGAAGAGGAGGAAGAGCTGGAGGAAGAGCCTGGCGGCCTCCCAGCAGCACCTGGCGCTGACCTTGGTTTGGACCACAGTGACTCACTGGAATAGCTCCCCCTGCACCCTCCCAAATCATTGACAGCACCAGATACAAAATTCCCCCTGAAATGCAAAAAAGAAAAGGCAAGAAGAAGAAATTAGTGAGAAAAAAGCGAACTGGTGGTGCTGGCAGAGGCCCTGGCTGCCCGCAGGAGCGCGGGGACCACCATGGCAGCGCACGGAAGTGAAGGACACACGTTTACAAGGCACATATTGTGGCCAGATTAATCCTTTATTTCAGGTTTTATTTTTCTTTTTCCCTTCATTTTTTTGGTAAGCAAAAGCATTTTTAGGGGAAGTTGTTTTCCCCACGTGACGCTCGGATGCTGTTGGGCAGTGGCGGGTGGGCCACGGCCTCCATCCCTTGGATTTCTTGGTGCAAAGAAAAGCCAAACCAACCCCAGGACTTGATGCTTTTTGGATTTTTCCCCCAGAAAGGTCATTCACAGGAGTAAATACTGGCATGGAGGGGGAAGAAAAATAATCAGCGAGTGCAAATTCTGCGATATCCGAGGAGGGCTTGCTGCTCGACTCATGGGATTGCCCAAACCTCCCAACTCTGGCCCTGATGTTTGGTGACTCTGGACACAACTTTCTGGAAAAGGGAGGAAATTCTTCCAAATCCTTTAATTTATGAGCTGAAACCTCTGCTGAATCTGAAAGGAAAACCAACTCACCCCGTTCTCATCCTTAAGGGCCGAGATTGGATGCAGAGTTGGGGCAAAGGCTGCCGAAAGTAAAACTTTTCCAAGGCATTTTGGCACAGAGTTAGTTAAAAATGGGGAAAAATTGGTCTTAAAAATAGCAAGATTTCACCCAAAATTGAATGGCGATGCCCAAGACTCGCCTGGGTGGAAGGAAACTCAGTATTATTGCTTAAAAGATAATTTCTCCCTGGTATTGTCCCTCCACATGGGAAAAGGGTGGAGCTTTAGCCCTGTGGGGGAGGGAAGCTGCCAAAAACCCTGTATTTTGGGTTTTTTTTATTTGAAATGCTATCAAAAGGGTGTACTCGCCTTAAAATGTGGCATGGGAGGAAATGCAAAAGCAAACCAGGGCAAAAATAAAGGAATTGTCTTCTGCAGGTTCCTGCTGTAAATGTGAGATTCTAGGAGAAGGCTCATTCTCTTGGTGGCTTTTTGCCCATATTGTCCTTTTTTTTTCCTGGCTCTTGAAGAGTTGACAAAAGAACCTGAACGAGAGCTGGGATCAAAACCACAAGTGATGCAATGGGCAGAAATTGCCTATTTTTGGATACTAATCTGGCGTGAATGTAATCTGTAATTTCATAAAGGATTCATTGTAATTTAGTATTAATTCCTGGCCATTTATTATAAAGTGCTACAAGATGAGGGGTCACACCTGTATTTTCTTGGCAGCTTCTTCCTTTGAGTGGAGAAGACCCAAAATGCAGGAATAACCCCCCCAAAATGGGCAAAACTCCCCTCATAAAACTAATTTACCCCCAAAATGAGTGGGTGGACTTAAATTGGTAATTGAGTAATGTGGAGAAAATTAGATTTATACTTCCAAAAGTGATGGTCTGCCAAAAATGAAAGTTTTCCCCCTCAAACAAGCTCCAATGGGATTTTGCCTCAAACCAGTGGTGCACACCCCAAAATGAGCTGTGTTCTTCAAAAAAGAGTGATTCTCCCTCCAGAAACTCCCCTAAAATGTTACAGACAACCCCAAAATGGGTGATGCTTACCCCATATTGAGTGATGGTCTCCAAAAATCACTCCTCAGAATCAAATGATGAGCTCATCTCTCCCTGAAATGAGTGATTCCCCCCCAAAATGGGTGCTCACCCCAAAAGGAGTTTTATTCTCCAAAAATTCTCCCCCAGAATGAGTGACATGTCCCCAGAGGATGATGTCCCAAACTGGTCCTCCTGGAAATGAGTGCCTCTCCTCAAAATAAGTGACTTCCCCCCAAATGACTGAATTTACCCCAAAATGGACAACACTCTCCAAAAATGAACAACATCCCCAAAATCAGGCACTCTTCCCCAAAATGAGTGACAAACCCCAAAACAGAGCAATTCTCCCAAAAACAGAAGTGATGGAAGCCCCTCTGTCCCTTAATGAGCCATTCCTTCATAATGGGTTGATTTAATAAGGGAAAAAATGTGATGTTTGCACAATTTTTAGCAGAAAATTTGGAGCACCCAGCAGCTCCTTAGCCAGAAGTTTGTGTTTTTTTATAGATCCCAGAATATTCCTGAGCACTGCAGTTAAGTCTGTGCAGGGATTTTTTTGCTTAAAAAGATAATTTTCCTATCTAAAAGTCGCAAAGCAAGGACAGGATAGGACAAGAGCAACAGGGGGGACTCAGACACCGGACACCAGTTGCTTAATTAATGTAAGGAATTCTTTATTCCCAGCTGTGCAAAGGGGGAAGTGCAGGGTGGGGCAGCCACAGGTGGGTGACCCTTTTTCCTTGGGTTTGGCCCTGTTTTGGAGGCGCCGGGGTGGGAGTGTGGGGGCAGCACCGCGTCAGGTCGGGCAGAGCACTGCCAAGAGAGAGAGAGAGAGAGAGAGAGAGAGAGGGAGGGTGGGGGCACCGAGGCTGCAGTGGGGCAGGAGCATGCACAGGTGTGTGTGGGGAAGCATGAGGGTGCATTGGAATGCAGGAGGAGGCACAGGGATGCAGGAGGAGGTGCTGTGATTCATGAGCAAGCACAGGGATCCATGAGGATGCACTGGGATGAAGGAGAATGCACAGGGATGCAGGAGGATGCTCTGTGATCCATGAGGATGCACAGGGATGCACAAGGATGCACTGGAATTCATAAGAATGCACTGTGGTCCATGAGGATGCACAGGAATGCATGAGGATGTATAGGAATGCATGAGGATGCACAGGGATGTACCAGGATGCAGGAGGATGCCCAAGTGTGCAAGGGGATGCACAGGGAAGAACAGGGATGCAGGGGGATGCACTGTGATCCATGAGCATGCACAGGGATGCAGGGGGATGCAATGGAATGCATGAGGATGCTCTGTTATCCATGAGCATACACAGGGATGTACCAGGATGCATAGGAATGCATGAGGATGCACAGGGATGTACCAGGATGCAGGATGATGCACAAGTGTGCAAGGGAATGCACTGGAATGCACAGGGAAGCACAGGGATGCACTGTGATCCATGAGCATGCACAGGGATGTAGAAGGATGCACAGGGATGCACTGCAATGCACATGGATGCACCAGAATGCATGAGGATGCACAAGGAATGCACACACACAGCAGTGCACAGAAAGAGCACGAAGGACACACGAGGACTCAGGAGGATGCACAAGAGGGGTGTGGGAGATGTGCAGGGACGCACAAGGATGCCTGGGAGATGCAAGGAAGATGGATGGGGATGCCTGATGGAGGCAGAGGAGGGTGCCTGATGGGGTGTGGGGGTGAGAGGGGGCGTGCAGAGGGTGCTGAGGCTGTGTGGATGAAGCAGATGGGCCCCAGGACAGGGCAGGAAGCTGCACAGGGCCCCCCAGAGGTGTGGCAGAACAGCAGAGCTGTACAAAGAATGCCTGAGGGATGTGCAGGAGGTGCACCTGGGATTCCTGAAGGATGCATGGAGGATGCACCAGGGATGCATGAGGGAAGTGGAAGGATATACAGGATGTATCTGGGATTCTCCAAGGATGCACAGAGGATGCACAGGAGATGCAAAAGGGACAAATGAGGTTGCAGGAGGGAAGGGATGCACAAAGGATGCAATGGAGGGGCAGGAGGGTGCAGGTACCTTTGAGGATGTAATCCGTGAGCAGAGTGGGCACCTTCTCATTCCCCTCCTTCATGGCAAACAGGACTGTGAGGGGGAACAAGCTGTGAGCCTGGCCCTGCTGCCCCCAAACCTCCCTTTTCCCCCCAGACCAGCCCCACAGTTGCTGTACAATTTCCCCAAACAATTTAAGCAGCAGGTCTGGGAACATCCAAAAAGGACTTTTGCCCCCAATTTGCCAATCTGAGGCAATGCAGAATGGGTGATTTACCCCCAAATAAACCCTGGTAAAAGGAGCATGAATTGGGGGAAGGTGTGTGCCTGCATAGAGCAATTATTGCAGTTGTGCTGCAGTGATGCAAACCAGGCATTTTCCCCTCCAAGTGGGTTTGTTGCAATGATGATGCAACATGGGTGGTAGCACCTTAAATTGCCCATGCTGCAATGATGCAAAAAATCCCCCAAACCTGCAATGATACCCCAAACTGCAGCCTCTGAGGCAAAGCTAAATGTGCCTTTGTACCCCCTAAACATCTGATGCTGACCCAAAACAGCAGCTTGAATGAATACTCACTGTTGGTGAGCATCTGCAGGTCCTCAACAGAGGGTGGTGAGCCCTTCTTCTCATAGGGAATCACCGTGTTCAGGTACTGCAGAAACAAAAGCCACCCCAAAACCCCACACAGATTGCACAAAACCAGCTGCTTTTTGCATTGCCTTGAGACAAATCACCCCAATTTTGTGCAAAAATAGAGTATTTCTGCAAAATTACTGCAATTGCATTTGATTTGCAGGTATTTTGGGGCGTGCTGAAGTAACTGGGTGTTGCAAACTCCACCCAAATCCATCCCTCCTCAGGAAGGATTTTTTGGGGTGAAAACAGGTAATTTTTCCAAGAGGGATTAGGAGGTTATAGGGGATAGAGCAGTGTTGTGAAACTAAAAAACATTTTAAAAGGGGGTTGGGGGGCTGCAGGGGAATTGGGAGTGCAGGGAGGAGTGAAAACAGATTGGGGCAATTTTGGGGGGGAAAAGGGCACCTGTTTCTCGTTGGTGGTAGGACCAAAAGTCTGGCGCAGGCCGGAGTGCAGGATGCTGGAGATGCCCTCCATGCTGAAGCGCTGGGGGGACAATGTCACACTGTCACCTCCTGGGGACAGCGGCACCAGCATCCCCCTCAACTCCCTGACTCCCACATCCACACCTTGCCCAGATGCCATCACCTGCTCCATACCCACATCCCACATCTCTTTGTCCCCCTGCTCCAAGCTCCCCTGTCCCACATTGCTCCATGACCTCCTGTGCTGTGTCCTTTCCATTCCCTGTCACTGCCCCATCCTGTCACTATTCCCTTCCCATCCCTCACTGCCTTATGCCTATGTCCTTCTGCCCCACCCTGCCACTATTCCCATCCCATCCCATCCCATCCCATCCCATCCCATCCCATCCCATCCCATCCCATCCCATCCCATCC